TGTATGACTTCACTTTTCAACCCCAGACACCGTCTGCCTTATACTGGCTTGCAAAACCCAGACTCAAGGCCCCCATCCCTGGAGTTTGTAATGGAAGTGACAAAAGGCAGATGACACAAGCTGGATGGGGAGAACCAGACCTGGTGCTGCTGCAGCAGGAGCGGCACATCAGCAGCACAGCACAGGATGGAAATGCCAGAACTGATTGTCAGGAGGGGCAGGAAGAAACGCAGGTTATAGCAGCAGGCATGTAACTTTCTTTGAAGAAAGATAAGGTCTTTCTTGCTAATAGAGGTGCAGGATTTAGTAGAAATAGGTGCTCCCTACAACACCATGAACTTCAGAGGGGCACTTATACGTTGGCTGTCTCCTGTGCAAAAGGTGGCAGGGGGGAACAGCTGGACCATTCTCCATTCCTCTTCCTGTTGGAGCAAAGGAATTCTGTGTGTGTTTACTTTATAGTCTCCAGGCTGATTTGTATTTATGTAAGGGCAGACACAGGCTTGTTTGCTCATGCTGAGCAGCACATCACTTTGCAAACAACCCCAGTGACTTCAGCAGGGCTGCTGGGGAGCAGCAGGAATTCCACCAGCAGTGTCTGGCTCCAGAAGGATATCTTAGGGATCTCACCAGAAAAGGCAATTTCTCCTTCTTTTTCCTCCTCCCTAGACATAACCACCACTTAATACAGTCTCACCAGTTACTGATGCCTTTCTGGAGCAAAAGGACGCACGTCTCCCATCCTGGCTGCACCTGGCCACCTTTTTCCTCCTTAGGAGAACTCCATTCTGTGCTTACAGTGTCCATCCCCAACCCATCCGACAATCTAATCTGGGTCAGTTTGCGATTGTATTTCCTCTTTTATTTATTTATTTATTACATTAATTTTTTTTGTGCTTTCCTCCCCGGCTGTTTGCTTTCTCCAACCACAGAGGGCACTGTTGGGGAGCTCTCAGCCCCAAACCCAAAGGAAAGACGGTAAACGGAGAAAGGTTTGTCAGCTAGCTCTGTATTTTCACAGGAGGACAACTAACAACACCGGGAAAGCCAAGACGAAAGCCATTAACACAGGCTAATGCACCAGATGTAGCCATCTCTAACGCTGACACTTTTATTTTTGTTTCCAAAGGAAAAGCTGTTGAAGCATGAATTTTGTAATGAAAACAAATTTTGCATTGCTGCTCTCGACATTGGTATTGGACTGACATGGCAATGACCTGAAAAAATATAAATTCTTTGACATTTTAGAAAAGCAAGGAGCAGATTTGCAATTAGGTTTTGTTTTTAATTATAGAAAGGTTTCAGAGTAAAAGAATATATTATGTGTCCTGAGGCTACCTGCATATTTTACTATCGAGTTACCTCTCGTTTAGCTACTGAAATGCAACAAGAGAGCTTTTGCATATAACAACATGGCATGCCTATCTTAGTCTACCACTCATTTGACTCTGCTCCACAGAATAAGAAGTACCTTTCATTCAGGTGTGTTTATGATGAGTAAACTTGACCAGATGTTTGGCCTCCTTTGTATTTTAAAGTGTTTTATGGCTCACATTAGTCAGCTGGAAAAGGGCAGTTCATTTATATTCCCTTGTACATTTTTTTCAGGTTCAAGCTTCCCTAACATGGAACATGGGACTATGTGAAAATATTTAAAAGGAAGAAATGAACAATTCCAAATATAACAATGTATGGCACTGAGCTGAATAAGGCCCTAAAATTTACAGGATGAATTCTATAAATATTGAGTGTTATGAGGCTACAATTCCAACAGTTTATCACAGAATAGAATCACAGAATCATTAAGGTTGGAAAAGACCACTAAGATCACCTAGTCCAACCATCCACCTACCACCAATAAACCAACACTGCCCAATAAACCATGTTCCTTAGTACCAAAATTCCACATTTCTTGAACACCTCCAGGGATGGTGACCCCACCACCTTCCTGGGCAGCCTGTTGTTTTTCCTAGTATCTAACCTGACCCTCCCCTGGCACAACTTAAGCCATTCCCTCTAGTCCTATCGCTGACCCCCACCTCACAACAACCTCCTTTCAGGTAGTTGTAGTGGGCAATAAAGTCTTCCCTGAGCCTCCTCTTCTTTAGACTAAACAATCCATGTTCCTGCAGCCACCCTTCATAAGATTTGTGTCATTGTTAGAAGATATTAGAATATAAATTAGAATAAATTTTTCAGACTAATTCAGACACTCAGATCCTCAGAAAATGGTTGGCAGCACTGAAACCTTAGCCTTACCCTGGACTTGAATGCTTCATCAGGCTGGGTGCCTGCCCTCCAGTACAGTTAGGTCAATGGAACTCAAAACACACCCAGCTGAAACAGCATGGTGGGAATGCAAAGTCTTTGCCTCAGCTCAGCCTTCATATGAATATCTTGCAGAGCCAGGAGTAGATTTAAACTGTGTGGAGAGGAATGTTCCTGTGTTCCTGAGTGAGGAGAGTCCCTTCATCCATCCTTCCTGGCAGTCGTGTGCAGTAAGACAATGCAGAGCTAAGGCAGCCCAAAGGTTTTGGAAAGGCAACACCAGCAATTATAGATGTTGTGCCTTGCATTTCACCTCCTTAAGACCTTAAAGCCACCACCTTGTAGTACCTGTGCTGCAAGCTGCCCAAAGCTGTACCAATGCTCACAGCTTCACCTCTCCCCCCATGGTGTTACCAAGGGCTCAGCATCACTCTGTGACCACAGCTATGTGGGGTTTGGTCAGCTCAGAGCATGGGCAAAATGAGGTTCATGTCTGCCCACAACATGTCATGTCAGCATGTTCTCAAGTCTGCTGCTCAAGTGAAATGTTTTGCTTCCAGTAAGGTTACCACAAGCCTATAGGACACAGCCACCCCTACCAGGCATGGCCATGGCCTCAGCTCCAGGCAACTTAACAGATTTCTGCACTGCAAAGTGGATTTCCATCATGTAGAGCAAGGTACTTACATGTGTAATCTTTCAAACATATTCTCCAGTACAATATCTAGGACTCATGGCAGTTCAGACCTTGTTGTACCTTAATGCTTGAGAAAATCCAACTGACTGGTGTGATTATTTCTCAGCTACTGCTATTGGAATGTCATTAGTACTTTGGCTGCAAAAATATTTTTTTCAGCCTCTAAAGAATTTACATTTCAGATACTTCATCATTGCAGAAAAAGTTGAGGTACAAAGACTCCTGTTGAAGTTAGAAGTAAAAGCAATTTTTTTCCAGCTTTACATGTACAAACTAAAATAATTTTAAAAAGTCATTAAATAAACATAACAGGTAGGATGTAAACCTTTCCTTCAGCTCATATTAGAATATTTTATCTTGCTAGTATTTTTTTTCTAGCCACTGGCCTCTTGGAAACACAAATTGGGATCCCTCTCACCTCAGCTGGGACCAGAGCACCCCGGAAAAACAGACATTCACTACAATATGTTGAATTTATCTAGGTTCTAAACACAGGGATCAATCAATAAATAAAGAGCTATGTCATATAAATAAAACATAATGGATTATAATTAATTTACACAGATTAAATAACTATTGAAAGAGGAATTAAGTGGAAGGAATACAAATCTGTAGCTTAGGCTATAAGAACAGGTGTTCCATCTATTAGGGGAAAATCTTATTTAACTTACGTAAATTGCAGAAACTTAATTATTTGAAAGAAGCTCTGGGTATCTACAACAAATGATGATTTTGCTGATGTAAGACCTGTATGTTCTATTATTCTACTTGAATGATTCTGTAAGCAGAAAATCAGCTAAAATTCCATCATCTATTTCTTTGGTTCTATGTAACACCTACAAAGTAAAAAGTCACAGGACTGATATACTCAGAAAGGACAGAATTATCTGGTTCATTCTAGTGTATCTTTCTCATCCTTCCTAAAAATCACCAGTAATGCAATACTGAGAGCTAAACTTTCAGAGAAGACATCAGACTGCCACAAGTTCAATTTGTGAGGAGAAGTGACATTTGGGGATATTTTATCCAGCAAATAACTAAACCATTTGTGATGCAGCAATACAAATATTTCAAGAATGATTTCCATCCTGACATCAGTACACGGGATGATATGGAAAGAGATGAAAGAAGACTTACTTTTAACTTGAAGCACTGCTATAGTTAGCCATTCTGCAGAAACGTTTTGACAGTTTAATCACAGAGACTCTTTCTCCTTTAATCCTAAAAATGTTGGCTCCCATATTAGGATGTTACTGCTTTCTCTTTGTCTGCAGCAGAAGAGTTATGCAAATTATAGGGTCTTAAAAAACTTGCAACAACCAAGCATATTACCAGGCAAAAAGAGAAATCAGCATTTTGGTTGTTCTCACGTAGGCCTCAAGAACTTCTGAACTTGAGGAAAGTGAGAACAAAGAATTCAGAAATGATGAGCTGATCTCTGGAAAAACTTCAGGTTGCTTTTGTGCGAGAGAATAAAATGCAGCGATCTCATAATCCCATTGTGCTCTGCTGGATTTTTTTTTCAGGTGGTTCTAAAAGGTCTTTAGATCTTTTCTAATGCAGAGAAAGCCCTCATAGAAGTATCTAAAGTGTTAGCAAAAGTCCTTTTCCATCTCAGGAGCTCTCAGGCAGGTTGTATAAATAGATATTTCTCATGCTTCAGAAAACTGGTAGCAAAGACCAAGGAGTTAAAGAAAAATAGTGCACAATTTCATTTGGTAGGGACCAGCTGAGGAAGCATTTAGAATATATTACACCATGTCTTACTTCAGCAGGGGCAATGTACCCAGTGCCACCACGATAGTGAGAAATACTGTAGAGTTCTTTAGGGCATTAAAAGAGAAAAATAGCTCTTTATTCCAGACAGCCTCCTTTGAATCCCAAACTCATAATGTTGGTAAAAAAAATGAATATCTGCATAGGCATGTTGCAGCACTCTACTTACTTGTTCCTTCTGTTTGTTCATAGAGCGGGTAAATCTCTTCAAAGAAAACAGAAAGATAATAAACACCATGAAACTAGAATTTACTGGTCTTATAGCTTTAATTTTATACAGTGAGCATGAGCTTTTGAGACCCATGACTGCTATTAAATATAATAAAAATGACCTGAGAGAAGGTCTTCCCACCAATCTGCACAATAGAGTTACAGCACTAAGAATACATTATTATATTCCTCTTAATATTATCGTGTTATTAAATTAAAGAATATGCTTTGAAATGATGCCAGGAAATTGCATTAAACCCTTCAAATGAATTAAATGTGTCAGACAGAGATGCCGTTCTTAAGTAGCTCTGCGTTGCCTCAAGATGAAAGCACTGAAACCTTGGACCCTTTGGAGACTGCTTGCCTCCAGACTGGATGCTAAGGATTATGGGGAAGAAGTGCTCTGCTTATTCCCGCTGGTCCACAAGTTGTTGGAAAAGGAGAATAACTTGTGATGTGGTTCAGCACCACCGCTTCTGGGATGACTGCCGGTCGTTTGTAGGTCATGGACTTGCTGAGGTAGTTTCGTGCTCATTAGAAGGCTAACCCAGAGATATTGCAGTTCTAGGAATGGAGTGAAATTGGAATGAGTGGCGGAGTGGCGGAATTTATTAGAGGCAATCACATAAAGGCAATACCAAGGGATGCTGGTGGATTCAGCAAGTTCAGATGTTAGTAAGATTAATATGCCTAACTGGAAATACAAAACCTAGGCACGACTGAATGAATATCCACGTAAGGTGGAAGAAAAGTGATCACAGCGTGGGTGTGAATGAATCAGAAGTTGCACTTTCCATCCACTTATTACTGGTCATCAAGCTGTTCTGCTCAAAGGCAGATAAAGGATGCAAGCACGAGACATTTCACATAAGCATCTCCCACAGTGGCTGCTATAACTGCACTTCATACACAGCACAGTATGTACTTTATGAGGTGTTCTAAGTATTTCTGTTAGCCTTGCATAATATAGACCTTGTCTACGTGCACAGTCCTGTTCCCTGCACGGAGACTTGAGCTTCATTGGTTCAGACCAGGCACTGAATCATGTTGTCATGGCTTCCTTTGTATGGAACCCAACATGAAATCAAACCCAGAGCAAACTAAATTAACCTATGCATTCCTTAATCAATTTGATTAGCAAATTAGTTGACCAAGCAGGTTTTTAGGCTGAAATGTGCAGGCCAACATGGAGTAGGTACAAGTTCACTGACAAGTTCAGTATTTAAACACTACAAAAACTGAAACCATGCCATTTTGTGCTTCTCTTTCCAAGTGTCATCAGACAAGCACAAAACCAACACATTTCTTATTCTTCTGCAGTGTAGCACAGATATTGTGACATCTGTCATGAATGTAAAGTAGCAACATACATAATTCACTCATATTAGATATTCCTAACTTGTGCAGGGCCAATACTGTGAAAATAAGAGTGATAATAATTTGTGATGTAAACTGATAGGAACATTAACACGTGTGGGGAAAAAAAAAAAAAAATCCTTAACACTAACACATTTATGAATGGATGAAAATAGGGGGGGAAGTTGAACTGCTTCTCCTTTTGCCTGAAATGTTGGTAACACAGAGCTCCTGACTCTGGGGGAGCTGCCTGGAGACACATCTCATGGGAAGCACGAGGAATGCCACAGCCATAAGAAAGTAATGAATGTTTCCGTGTGTCAGCTCAGCTATTTTCCCAGTAGTGTCTTTTGGGAAATGTTTACAGAAAGGGAAAATAAATTGATTGTGTACAGATAGGGAAAATAAATTGATTATTTACAGATTATATGTATATGATTTGATCAAACCACAAACTGTTTTGCTCCTTGCAGCCTGGTGCAGTGATTTTCCCCTGTTGGGCTGCATGCTGTGGGTTGGTAGCAATAGCAGTGTGATTCCTATTACATACATTTTCCAGACATTCAACAGTGCTAGGTTCTGAATATTTGCTCATACTTTCTAGGAAAACTAAGGACAACATGGGAGGCTGTAAGCAGTTAAAGTTGGCTTTGGTGTTCTGCACTGACAAAACTGCAACTAGAAGCTTTTTCCTTGAAGCCTGCAAGAATGAAAGTCACAGCTGGCACAGTTCTATGGAAGTTACCTCTGTGTTTGATCTGCAGTGTTATTCCTGAAGTTACAATGCAGGAAGGTCAACTTTTATAAGCATCTATGAGACTGAATTCTCTAAATCTGCTGCACAAGTCAGGAGAAAACTTTTAATAGCTCAAACTGAGTTTGGAGTGACTGATTTTGCCACCAGCTTCAACCATCATCAGTGTGTCGTCCTTTTGGAATGTAAATAAAACTCATATCCTCAAGAGCCTATTTTACAGCGGATTTTTCATTTGCGTGATCATTAATTTTTAAGTGCTCATTAATGAAACACATCCTTGTTTAAGGCTAATAAACGGGTTAATAGCTGGGATTGATGAGAATTCTGGAAGACAAAAAAATTGAGAGAGACAGAAAGGAGAATAGGGAGCCTGACAAGTTAATGATGCATTAAAGTAAATCCTGGGTCAGTTTAGATCCTGCGTAGCTCATTACTGCATAATAAATTTAATTGATAGCTACTAAAAAAACACAAAAAATTAGGGGAAGCTATAGAACTTTTGGTTAAATTCACCGGGTAGACATTCAGGATATTTCCTAAAGTTTTGCAGTTGTATATTACTCGTAAAAAAAATTCCAGTTGTTAAAAGAATTTGGGTGTCCAACTGAAAGCAAAGTGCCAGCCTTCAGACCAGTGCCTGGCTGTGTCACATACACAACCATCTTCTCGTGTTCCACGACCCCAGAAAAGAGAGGGAGGAGACAGAACTCAGTAATCCTGTTGTGCCACTAATTATATTTAAATCAATAGTATAAAAAGCTCTGGTACTCAAAATACAATTACATACTGGAAAGATAAATGAAATAAACGGTGTTGTCTGGGACAGAGAGAAGAGTAGGTATGTCTCTAGCTGAGGTTTTGGCCAAGGGTTATCCGAGTGCTGTGTGACTGCACGTGCAGTCCTGGCTGGGACTTGGACTTGGTCTTCCCATGGGGATCTCCATCAGAGAACATGTTTGTTGCCAAGTACATGGATTGCTGAGTAACCACCAAATAGTCTTTCGGGGAATGAAAGCAGCACAGCTGAGCTCTGCCCCTTGTGCAAGATGGGAGTGCTGCACCAAGCCTGATGCCTCTGCTTAATGATGAACTGTGCTTGTTCTGAGCTGCGTGAATACAGTGAGTGAATTCGTGCATGTCTAGCCTGGCAGCAACAGAGATACAAGGGCACTGAAATCTCTCAACCCTGCATCTATTTTCAGTTTATTCTATCTGCTCCAAAGCTGTAGGACTCAGGTAGGTCCTAAGCTGTCACCAGCACTGTGAGCGTGCTGCTGACACTATGATGTTTATCAAAAATATATTCCTAAACATTGTTAGTTAAACAACAGAAATCCAGATTTTTTTACAGCTGCAGATTGTCCTCTGTGGGTGTTTAGTCACCATTATTAAAGCCATGCTTTGTTAAATTCCTTTTCTTTCCATGACCGCATTAAATTATTTACATATTGACAAACCGAGATGCTTTGCCTTTGCGGCAGATGCAAACCTCATCCAGCAACAGACTGTGCAATTAGAAACCAGCTCACCAACATGACCTCGAGTACATGAGGTGCATGCTTGCTCAGCACAGTGGTTCTGTTGCACAGACACCCAGGAGGACGGAGAGACAAGGGAGGGAGCAGTACTGAGGACCTGTTTTTAGATATATGCTTGTCTTTTAAAATGCAGAGCTTTGCATGAATTGTGGGACTATCATTAAAAGCTTACTTTGGAAGAAAGATGTGCTGTACTGTATGGATAACAAAGTGAGCTCCGAATAACAAGGATGGGAGGTGATGTTATGGATGTTTTTTCCAGGGTGTCTGATGCTTCTATGGGAAGGGACTCTGGTACAACAACAGTCTGTGGAAGGATTGCAAGCAACTTCAGCAAGGAATAGCAAGGCAAGAGTTTATACCATAGCAAAACAGAGAAAAGAGCTTTGGTCAAAAAAGAGGGAGGAAAATCAGTGGTCAGATCCTACACCCACATAATTGCTTAGGAAATGATCGAGGCACTTGTGAAGGTGGGGGCTAGAACTGGCCCACAGCTTCATTCATCTGCTCCATGTCCTCATGATTATTTTTTCCTCTTTATACACGTGTGTATTACTGCTAGGACCGCCAAAAGCAGCTGAAAGGCTCATTCAGCCCTCAGCAAGGAAACCTTGGCTTAGGGCCACATGGCTGGCTCTGCAGGAAAGGAAAAGCATAAGCGCTCCTTGAAGGCTGCAGCAGCCCTGTACATCACTCAAACGAAAGCTTCAGATACAAGTCCCAAAATGCATGGCCTGAACCCAGGCTGGGAACACCCACTCCAAACTAGTTTTAATGCACCCAACTAGAAGGGAAGATTAATAAAATTCTGATTTCACAGCTTGTGAAGAAGTCATACGAGACACAGAGTCAATTATGATTCAAGATGTGATGTTGTATTGGAATTACAATTCTCTGCCCCTCTGTGCTCACCTACCCTATGCAATGCATTCTCCTGGTGACAGTGGGAGAGATTGAAGTAGGACACGAGGGGAGTTTAGTTCCACCTCCTACCATGCTGGCATGAACCTTCCAACCAGCAGATGTGTCCTGCAGTGACGGGATTAGAAACCAGACAGAATGAGATGGAATTTTCTCTGGGAGGATGTTTTTGGGAATTTGCTCAGCCCTGTGTCTAACACCACATCCTCGAGTGGTTATACTGAAATATAGTCCCAAGGAAAAAAACTAAGCGTACAATTTTTCAGTCTTTAAATTAAATTGCTCAGATTGATAGAATCCATTCTGAAGCAAAAACGACTCATGCTTCAAACCCAAAATGATACTAAACAACACTGTTCAGTAATTAACATATATAATTATAGTGCTTAAAAGTATTAAGTGCATTTTTTTTTTCTTTTTACCTTTCAATGAACAGAAGTTCTATGAGACACAACACAGCACTTCAGTGTATTCTCATCCCGTTTCTGCTCATAAAGCAGTGGCAAAAGCTACTTTTAGCACGAGTATAAAGACAACAGATCATTTTTACGGAGAGAGATTTTGAAATATGCATCTCAGAATTATATATATACACACATCAGGGGCTGCTTTCCTGCTCAAATCCCAGCTGATCCAAGCACACGATCACACAACGCAGCCTTTGTTACCTTTTCAGCAGGAGCCATTTACATCTCGAGACACCTCACCAGGCAGCCTTCTCTTTGTGACTTTTTTTTCTGCAGTTTCTTCTAAAGCACGACATAATTGGCAGCTTGTGTACCATGTCCCTATCTATACACACATACACTGTGTGATAATTGGTGTGTTACGCTGGTATGGATTGATCTGCCACCCTTATGGTCCCTCTGCAATAAGGATTTTGAGTTAAACTGAAAAGCAAAATTCAGAATAAAGCTGGAAGTAACAGAGAGGTTTGATACTCATTTCAGCAGTGGCAGAATTGAGCAGTCTCCCTTCTCTTCTTGTGTAGG